ACCATGAAAGCATTATCCCCATTAATGACACAATCAGGCAAATGGATCTTGTTACAGGAAATATCCAGGGTTTTTTCAATACAATAAAAAGTTGGTTCAATTATCATTTTCTGTTTTCTGGCTCTTCAATACATTTATAACAGTGAGTCACTGATGTTTGTCATAACATTTAGAGAGTGCAAAATCTTAAAATGCTTTCTGAATAGCCAGAAGAAGTGTTCAGTTATGCAAACAGGATCTTAATGTTGAATTATATTTTTCCACAGACTTCTCATTATGAGAATGCTCATGTATCTGAAACGTTGAAATACCAGAATGAATGCTAATATACTACAGTAATTGTTTATTTTTGCCATATTTGATTTTCCTCTCTGCCCCAATCTGTGCATACACATACAATTTTTGTTGTTGTTGTTTAACTATTTGAAAGTAAATTGCAGATTTTATGATGCTGGCTGATATGTAATTTAATGCATTCCAGTTCTTTGAAACATAGCTCTCTATATATTAAACACATGATGCTATACCCATTTATAAAATAAATATTAACTTAAAATGTCTCATATTATAATTACCTGTTAATTTATCACAACGATATTAGGACAGATATTAAGACTAGATATTAAGACAACCTTAATATCTAGTTGTCTAAACATGACAATTCACTTTATGTTAATTGTCAGTGTTGACTCTGTCCTGCACCCAACCACCATAAGAGCTGGTGCCTTAGTCTGTATTCCTATGGATAAGTCAGAGCATTCATCTATTAAAACCCAGATATTTGAGTACTTAATGAAATCTCATTGATGTTCAGGGTTTTTATGGAAAAATACGTCTCTTTTTGCTAGTGTAAACTAAATTCTTCCTAATTATTTTATTAAGCTATGAGAGAAGACCTTGATATTGCCACAAAATGGAATTTGGGTAAACTCCCAAGGAAAAATGTTCAGACAGATCCTGAGAAAGAAGATTCATGTTATCAAAAATTAACTGTAAAAGAGACTTTTAAAAGTCTCTCACTTTAAGTCTGAGACAGTCGGAGGAAATCTTTCTCAGACTTAAAAACATTTGTACATTAAATTATGATAAAATATAGATTATAGATAGGTAGAATTAAATCTCCCTCAAAAGAGGCATTATCCTAACTCCCAGTACCTCAGAATGTGACCTAATTTAGAAATTGTGTTGTTGCAGATACAATTAGTTTCATGAAGATTAGGTCATACTGGAGTACGGTGGGTCCCTAATCCAAGAGGACTGGTGTTTTTTTAAGAAGAGAGAAATTTGGACAGGGATGTGCATAGAGGTAAGATGATATAAAGACACACAGGGAGAAGACTGCCATGTGACATTGTGAGAGGGAGCAGAGACCCCTCTTAGGGGACTGCCAGTCTCCCCTAGCCCCCCAGCATGGAGTTAAAGAAAAATTTTGAGTTCCTTCTAGGGAGATTTCGGCATCTAGCTAGCCCTGCAACCAGCAATTTGAAAAGTAAATATAAATAATCCACTAATTTAAAAGGTAATAATAACTTAAACAATTGTCATTCAAGTAAGTTAGTGTCACAAGATGTTTGGTTCCTTATAGAAACTAAAGATAGCATCTCATATCCTTGAGTTGTTATTCAGAAACCTTGACCCTCACCAGATGAAAAATACCAACCACTGTCATGTAGACTTCAGATAAGGCGGAACTAAGAAGTGAACGCTGAGTACTGTCCTTATTCTAAATTTCTTCCTTGAAAGCCTGTAGAGAGTCATACCCAAAGGCTAGATCTTAACACTCCTTTCTTCTGACCCCAAGTTTTTAGACAAAATGTTGCTTCCTTAACCAACTGTAAATCAAAGAGTCTCAGAATCCACCTGTTTGTTAGCCTCTACTTAAAGATACTCCCACCTCCTTGGACCAAACCAATGTATAACCTCCATATATTGATTTATGATTTTGCCTGTTACTTCTCTTTTCCTGAAATGTACCGCTACCTTTTATAGTGTGCCCTTACTCATAAGCCATTGGGGAGTTTGGGCCTTAAGTGTGAGCTGCCTGATTCTCCTTGCTTGTCATCCGGCAATAAATGGCTCACTTTCTCTCACTGCAAGTCCTGGTGTGTGTGTGTGTGTGTGTGTGTGTGTGTGTGTGTGTGTTTTGCACACTGGGTGAGCTGACTCAAGTTTGGTTTAGTAACAATTGGAGGCAGATATTAGAATGATGATCTATAAGTCAAGGAATGCCACAGATTTCTGGCTGTCACCAGAAGCTAGGAAAGAGGCATGGAACAGATCTTCCCTCAGAGCCCTAAGAAGGAACCAACCCTGCCAGCTCTTTGATTTTGGACTTCCAGCCTCCACAATTGTAAGAGAATAAATTTATGTTCTTTTAAGTCATCTAGTTTGTGGTAGTTTGTTGGACTAGCCCCAGAAAACCAAGATGGATGGAAATCGATAGATGATAGATAGATAGAAAAATAGATAGATAGATAGATAGATAGATAGATAGATAGATAGATAGACAGACAGACAGACACATACATACATACATACATACATACATACACACACAGACAGATACCTAGATAGATATATAGATAGACAGACAGACAGACAGACAGACAGACAAAGTTTCAAGGCTTAGGTCTAGTCATAAAATGAGGACAGAAGGAACCATCCATACCATCCACTGAAGTAATACAGTAGTCCCAAAGTTGTTAGTTGGATCACATAAAATTGCCATTTTTGAAGGACCAAAAATAAGTAAAAAATTGCATTAATAAAAGCAATTTTATGAGCCTAATAGATTACATAAATAATTCAAGGTTTCTGAACCGCCCCCCCCCCCCTTTTTTTCCTCAGGAGCAGATCCCTTGGCTGAATTATCTAAGAAAACATTTTCTCTACATCACTTTTCCTCTATAAATAGATTCTTAGGCTTCATTCATTTCCTTCAGACAAGGAATTTTCAGTCTCCATGACCTATATGGAATGAAATGCTAGAGGCAACTGTTCTTTGAGGTTTTGTCTGCTATTTCTCTCGTTTACACATCTCTGTGCATGATTTATCCTGGGAGACAATACTGAGGATTCTATCTAATTCACATTCAAAGCTGAGGTTTCTCCAGGGCATTTTCTCTCATTCCATTTGGTACAGCAGTAACTGTTTGACAACATCTGCCTTACAGCACCACTCTGCAGTCCCATCTGACACTTCATTCTCATTCACATGCTCTTCCTGCCTGTCTTCTGAGGGAGATGTTTTCACAACAGCGAGAAGACAGTAAGGACGAACCAGAGCTGCACTTGCCCAACGTTAATGTACATCATGAACCCACCAAATGGCTTCACTGACCTCTTACTCCAATTTATCCAAAGACTTTTGACATAAGCCAATGATCTTTAAACCAGCCTATTGTCCTTGGGGATTGTTGAGCATTCACATGTAATTTCTAAGTGTTGATTTCCTAGACTTTCAAGTATCTCTTCCCCCTCAAAGTTTCCTCAACTATGAAAAACAAGTAGCCCTTCACACATTTTACTGACAATTTTTTAACCAACAAGAAATGGTACAAACAAGTCCTAAAACATCCTGTGTATGACCACTGCTAAAACATGCCATTTTACTTTCATAAGTAGATATTTAACAGGAAATTCTATTTCATAAAAGTTTTAATAATCCTTAGTTCAGATAGATTTTATGACTGTAAGAAACTAAATTAAGGGAAAATTCCAAATCTTATCCATCAAAAGATTCCTCTACATTCTGGAATAACTTAAATCATTGCCTACAACACACAGAAAATTCAGAATATAGAATTCATTAGTAGCAACTGCCATTCAAATTATTACCAACTTTCATTAAACTGTTTTTGTTATTTTGCTATGGCTTTAAATTCTAACAGATTGTTTAAAATGTCATTCTATTTCTATTTAGCTGAAAACCTTGTACTATTATGCTCTTCATTATACAAGATTCTGCACAATTTCCCTGTGCCAGACAATACATAAACAGCTGGTAATTTTAAGCTGCCTTGAGGAATAAAAATTCCTTGGCCTAAAAATGTATTTGACTTAAAAATTTATGATACTTCTCAGCATACTTTACAACTGGGTTTTCATATATATATATATATATATATAGGTTTTCATATATATATATTTCACATATTTGTTCACATGAAATTTGAAAAGGAATGTACTATAAAAGAATATCTTGTCTTTTTGTGGTTTTATGAGTAGAAACTGCATAAGAACACAAAATCCAAGCAGGGCATTAAAATGGCAAAATACTCTCTGAGGGTATAGACAGTATTACACAGGTGTTGGCATTTATATTTTGAACTCCTATCTACTGTGTTTCTTACTCATTAGAGACAAGCCTAAGTCACTTTTGCTTCTCAACTTACCTATGAATGTAGGGCAAAAGAAGCAATCCCCAAATAAAAACCTTCCTTTTCCAGGTACAAACTTCCAGATGAGCAGGTTCAGTCCCAGAAAAATTAACATTTGTTCAATTATACTCTACTGAAACAAGCGCAACATTTGAAAATCAAGGCAAATTAGAATCTGATGACTCCTTTAACAAATACATTTGTGCTTTATTTCTAATTCTTTTCAATAGCAAGCTTTTCTAATATTAAAAAGTGGTTTTAATATTTAAATATTGAAATTATTATACAGTGTGTATATATGTCTGTGTGTGTGTGTGTGTGTATATATATATCCAAGAACATACCTGATATACAAAATAAGCTCTACCTGCCAATTCTAAATGTTTTTCCTTGCCAGACTTCTCCCCACAACCACATCCAAAGTGAGATCCAGTTGCTTTCAAAGACTCATGCAATTTCCACCAGACAACAACATATTTGGGTTGCACTCCCATAATCAAGAGTCAAACGAGTCATTTGCACACCGCAGCTCTCTGGCCCCTTTGTTCTTCAAATCAGGTTCTTGCCTTCTCCAGGTCACAGGCCCCATAGAGATGCCATTATATAATGAAATAAACTTACTGTTTTCTTTAACACTTTGAGAGCATAAGGCTTCTGGGTCCCCTTCTGTTTGCATCTGTACACAATGGATGTAGCACCCCTTGAGGGGGAAAAAGACAAAAAGAAAATGTTATGCTTTGGACATGAATTAAAGGGGAAAGCTTGAAAATAAGTGTCTCTTGCAATAACCCACATAACTGACAAGTGCTTATTATAAGTTCTATTATAGGACCAGCCTCAGCTGTCAAAGTACTTTTTTTAAAATCACAATTGAATATAGTTTGCTCAGAAAATTCTAGGTTTTCTAGCTTGCTCTTTTCCTTCTGCCTTATTGCTATACAAGTAACATACCTAGGGCTACTGCATTGAGAAGGCTCTGAAATAAATTAGGTCTTCAGATGAATGTTGTTTCTGAAGGAAACCCACCCAATTTCAGAATCCCAGAGCTTGCCTAAAGGTACATGTCTGGAATAAAACAAACCATATGACTTCAGGGAGAGGGTTTAGGTTTAGCACTCTATATAGTCTGCACTTTCACAATGTGGCAAGGGAGCTGGGACATCCTTCCTACTTTTTAATGTGTAGAGGAGATGGTAATATGTAAAGGAGATGGTAAGAAGACACTCAATATTTATTTTCATATATGTACAGGGTTATTAATAAGAAAGCATTAAAAAGCAGGACAACGTGGTCCAAATGCTCCAAACACCACATGAGAAGTAAAAGAGTAAAAGAGAGATAAAAGAGAAATATAGACCAAACAGGCTTACACTTCAACTTCAGAAAGAGAACTTCTAGAAACAGCTTAAGATCAATAAACTTGTCAGACTTTGAAGATTAGGACAAAGGACCTCTTATAATATACTCAGTCCCATGGTCCTGAAATTCCAAGTGAGCACAAAGAATTATAAAAATAAAACACATTTCCAGCTATCTAAAGGTGACAAATTTTTAACAGAGCCAACAGAAGTCAAAGACTGGTGTGTTGTAAATGCAAATAGTTAAAAATATTAACATTTATTTTTAAAACCTTGGTAAGGTATGACATATACACAAAGTAATAAAGCGTTTAAGAAATAGAATAAATGAAAATAATATAAAATTGATTTCCTTATTTTAAATTGTTTTAAAAGGTAACTAAGGCAAAAATATCAAATTTTTTCAAAGTTAAAAATGCATTGTTTTCTAGCATGTGTAAAAATAAAATGTATGACAACAACAGCACAAATAATGGAAGGAAGAAATTGGGAAATACTGTTGTTAAATCCTTATACTACATGTCTGGTAGTCTAATATTATTTAAATATAGACTGATTAAAGATGCATATTATGTAACCTAGGGCAATGACAAAAATAATTCTTTAACAGAAAAATCAATAATAATTCAATAATGGAGCTAAAATGAAATATTCAAGAATGGATTGCAAAGGAGCAAAATCAAAATAATAGATTTAAAAAATAAAACAGCTAACAATGTGGTGGTTTTTATTCTAATCATATAATTACATTAAATGTAAACCTTATAAACTGCTAATTAAAACTTAAAGAGAAGATTGGATCAAAAAAATCAAGACCAAACTGTATGCTGTGTACAAGAAACTCATTTTAAATATATAGGCATAAATAAAATAAAATAAAATATATAGGCATAAATAAAATAAAATAAATAAAATGATATATTAGGTTGGTGCAAACCTGGCAAAAGAGATACTACACAAACCCACCATAAGAAAGCTTATTAATATCAGACTAAGTAAATTTTAGCAAAAGGATAAAGGGGGACATTAATTATGAAGGGGTCAACTATGCAAAACAAAATAAATATAAATATGTGTACACCTAACAACAGGGTTTCAAAATACATGAAAGAAAATCTTATAAAACTAAAAGGAGAAATAAAAAAATCCATAAATACACTTGGAAACTTCAATACACTGTCTCAGCACTTGATAGGAAAAACAGACAAACTCTCATCAAGGATTACAGAACAACAGAACAGCCCTACCAACTAAATTATACTAAGTGACATTTAAAAAAAAAACTCTACACCTAAACATCAGAATACATATTCTCTTCAAAGTTGTAGGACTCACACACTTCATTTACAGTCTTACTATAAAACTACAGTAATCTAGAGAGTGGTATTGAAGAAAGAATAGACATGAATACAAATGAAATGTCTTTTGCATGTGTTTTATATAGGTAGATAAAGTTGCAAATGAAATAAAGAACAGTTGTCATATTTGAGATAAGGCATTGGATTAGGGTAGAGGTGAAGGAAAATAATAAAGTGATTAAGAACACAGCTCAACAATTACTAGCTACATGACCACATGCAAGTTACATGACCTCTTTGTGCCCTCAGTGTTCCCATCTGTAAAATGGAAAAAATAACATTACCTATCTCATGAATTGTTGTAGAGCAAATGTGTTAATCTATTTAAAGCATTTAGAGTGATGTTCGGCACAGTAAGGCCTATAAAAGCATTTACTCTAATCGTTATATACTTCTATATTTTTATAATTTTTACAATAAAATACTCATATTCTTCATGTAATTCCTTGTGTATTCCTACTGTAATTTTATTTTTATTTTTACTTTTTTTAAAAAAAGGATACAAAAATAGTCCTATACATATATGACGGATTAGTTTCTGACAAAGGTAAAAAGGCAATTTGGTGACAAAAAAAGATAGCTCTTCTAAAAACTAGTGCTTGAATGACCAGATATCCATATGCAAAAAGATAAAAACAAAATTTATCCATACCTCACATCTTATATTTAAAAAATTACTCAAAATGGATCACAGAGAGAAATGCAAAACCAGGAACTATAAAATTTCTTTTAAAAAACAGAAAAAAAGGATTGTGATCTTTAGTTAGGCAATGATTTCTTAGATACAAAACCAAAAATACAATAAATGAAAGAACAAGTAAATAAACTGAACTTCACTTAAGAGTGTCTGCTTTTTGAAAATGCAGGAGAAAATATTTATGAATCACATATCTTAAAAGGACTTCTATCTGAAATATATAAAGAACTCTTAAAACTCGATAAGAAAATAACACATTAAAAATGGGCAAAATATCGGAACACATACAACCGATAGTACAGAAATGTAAAGGGTCTTAAGAGACTAGAATGAACAAATGAATACATCAACAAATCGGATGACCTAGAAAAAATGAATAAATTCCTAGATACATACAACCTACCAAGACTGAATAATGAAGAAATAGAAAATCTGAACAGAACAATAATGAGTAAAAAGATTGAAATCGTAATAGTTTCCCATCAAAAAAAGAAAAGAAAAGAAAAAAAAGAAGGCTGGCCCTAAAGGCTTCATTGCTGAATTTTATCAAACATTTAAAAACCTAATACCAATCCTTCTCAAACTCTTTCAAAAACTGAAGAGGAGGGAATACTTTCAAATAAATTTTATGAGGCCACCATTACCCTGATATCAAAGCAAGACAAGACTACTATAAGAAAAGAAAATATCCCTGATGAACATAGATACAAAAATCCTCAACAAAATACTAGCAAACTGAATTCAACAGCACATTGAAAGGCTCATTCACCATGGTCAAATGATATTTATCCTTGGGATGCAAAAGTAAACATATTCAAATCATTAATTGTGATATACCACACTAACGAAACGAAAGGCAAATCATATGATCATCTCAATAGATGTAGAAAAAGCATTTGACAAAATTTAACATCTATTAATGATAAAAATCTCTCAAAAAGTACATATAGAAAGAATGTATCTCAATATAACAAAGGCCATATATGACAATTCCACAGCTAATATGCTCAATGGTAAAAAGTTGAAAGCTGTTCCTCCAAAATCATGAACAAAACATGGATTCTCACGCTCAATAGAAACCCTAGCCAGAGCAATTAGGCAAGGCAAAGAAATAAAAGGAATCTGAATCAAAAAGGAGTAAGTTAAACTGTCCCTATTTTCAGGTGATATGATTATATACACAAAAACCCTTGAAAACTTCACCAAAATATAGTTAGAAATAATAAATGAATTCAGTAAATTTGCAGGATACAAAATCAACATTAAAAAATCAGCTGAGTTTCTATTTACGGATAACAAGCTGTCCAAAAAAGAAATCAAGAAAATAATTCCATTTACAATAGATGGAGATATAAAATACTTAGAAATAAATTTAAACAAAGAAGTGAAAGATCTGTATACTGAAAACTATAAACATTCATAAAAGAAATTGAAGAAGACACAAATAAATGAAAAGTTATCCTGTGTTCATGAATTGAAAGAATCAATATTGTTAAAATGTCCATATTACCCAATCTACAGATTCAATATAATCCCTATCAAAATTCCAATAACATTGTTCACACAAATAAAAAATATTCCAAAATTCCTGTGGAATCACAAACGACCCCAAATAGTCAAAGTAATCTTGAGCAAAAAGAACAAAGATAGAAACTTCGCACTACCTGATTTCAAAATCTACAAAGCTATAGTAATCAAAATGGCATGGTACTGGCATAAAAATAAACACATAGAGCAATGGAACAAATAGAGATCCCTGAAATAAATCCACACATTTATGGCCAATTGGTTTTTGACAAAGATGCCAAGAACACATAAAGTGGAAGGAATATTTTCATCAATAAATGGTGCTAGGAAAACTGGACATCAACATGCAAAAGAATGAAATAAGACACTTATCTCACACTATTTATAAAAATCAACTCAAAATGAAGTAAATACAAATATAATACCTGAAATTGTAAAACTACTACGCGAAAACATAGGAAGAAAGCGCTATAACACTGGTCTGGGAAATAATTTTTTGGATATGACCTCAAAGGCACAATTAACAAAAGCAAAAATAGATAACTGAAATTACATCAAACTAAAAAGCTCCTGCACAGCCAAGGAGACAATCAACAGAATAAAGAGACAACCTACAGAATGGGAGAAAATATGTTTAAACCATACATCTGATAAGGGGTTAATATCCAAAATATATAAGGAACTCAAACACCTCAATAGTAAGAAACTAAATAACTCTATTAAAACATGGGCAAAGCATATGGCTTAAAGCAATCTTAGA